TAACCCTCAAGAAGGAAACACAAGCTGAGCAGCTGGGTAACACCCAGTGTGGGCGAGGGGTCGGAGGACCCTGGAGTTAAAGCAAGAGGGAGGACAAAGGAAAATCCAGATGTTTCTTTTTCTAAAGCGTATCTAAGCGCCAGTCAGTTGGTTTCCCAGCCCCACACTGTTGCTGTTATTTCAGGGCAGACGGGCAAGCTGATGTACGTGATGCACAACTCCGAATATCCCCTCAGCTGCTTCGCTCTCTTTGAGAACGGTCCCTGCCTCGTCGCAGATGCCAACTTTGATATCCTCATGGTGAAGCTGAAAGGCTTCTTCCAAAATGCCAAAGCGAACAAGATAGAGAGCCGGGGCACCCGCTACCAGTACTGTGACTTCTTGGTGAAGGTGGGCACGGTTACGATGGGGCCCAGTGCCCGGGGGATATCTGTGGAGGTAAGAGTCGTCTTTGAAGGGGATGAAATACAACTACAGACAGGGAAATCCCACCTTGGAGGCTAGACGAGAAATCCCTGGTCCCTTCCGTGTCTTGAGAAATCCCCCGTCCCTTCTGTGTCTCGACTGTATTGCTCGTTGCTGGTAGTTTGTATCAGACCGCTGTGTACGCGGCACGCAGGGTATTTCTCTCCTTCTCCCCACGAGGTTTAATTCAGGCAGGTACTTGGGGGCTCAGCTGCAGCTACGGAAAAGCCTGTCATTGAAGTGTCGACGAACAAAACCCTGAAGGGATGCCATCAGACTAAAAAGCTGTTTAAAGTCCTGACGCACAGCGCTAGCAGAGCACGTGAGGTTAATAAGCATACGGAGGGGGATTCCATGCTGATTTGGGTTTTTGTTTGCTTTCTCCACCTGGAGCAGTGCCCTCGTGCCCCAGCCTCTGCTCCCAGGGTGTGGAGATGGTGGTCTCCCCCCCGCAGAGCTGTTGGCAGCGCTCCGCTGCGGTGTGCTGACCCGCGCTGTTGCACCCTGGGGTGCACGGCGGGCTCGAAGCCTGCCATCAGACCACTCCCGCTCTCTCCGCTCCGTGCCGTGACCGCTGATGAGGAGTGGGAGCACTGGCTGCCAGCTGCCAACGGGCGTTTCACGGCGTGGAGGCTGGGCTGAAGCTAACTCTAAAGGCGGATCCTTCAGCAACCACGGAGGGGTGTGGGGAGGCATTTGAGGAGATGTGGGGATGAATGTGTTAGTCAACGGCTCATGAGCCCTGGATGAGCCTCAGCTGGGTGAAAAGCATCTCGGAAAAAGACAAGGAGGTGGGCTGTGCTGGTAGGGGAAGGGCAGGGCAGAGTAGGTGAGACTCCAGGCATCCAGGTGCCTGACAGTCTTCACGAAAGCTGCGATTAGGTGCTTAAAGGTCTTTCAGAATCAGACCTGATGCTTTTTCTAAACACACAAATCCTATTGTCTGATATACAATTAATAATCACGCTGCATCTGCTCAGGCAGGTGTTCTACCCAAGCAGGGATGAGGATGGAGAAAGGACTTATTTCTTCACTGAAAAAACCACAGGTGTTGTAGCATTAGTGTTGCTGTTGATTTGGGGTTAAACAGACACTTGTTTTACCCTGAACTTGAGTTCAGCACCAAATTTGGCAGGCAGTGTGGCTGCTTTTGGATTAGTTTAGTAGTTTTTTTCAGGGTTTGCATTAGAACTTCTCATTCCCTTTTCTTCCCTTTTGAATGGGTTGCTTGCATGTTCCCAGCATGTCCTGTTCATTTATATTTGTCCATCCTTGTTAAATATTCTCAGATGTTTTTCTGAAAAGCATTCTTTCTTCAATGGGGCAGAGAGGAAATAACCTCTGTGTGGTTATCGCCCCTGTCGTGAGCTTCAGGGCCGTGGTTTCTGTTGCCAGGTGGAGTACTGCCCCTGCGTGATAGCCAACGACTGCTGGAACCTGCTCATGGAGTTCATGCAGAGCTTCATGGGGAACCACACTCCCGGCATCCCGTCTGTCTTTGGCACCAAGCACGACAGCATCTACAGCCCGGCGGACACGATGGGTCAGTACATGGAGCTGTTCAACAAGATCCGCAAGCAGCAGCAGGTGCCTGTAGCAGGGATCAGGTGAAAGGACTCCCTGGAGCCGGGTTTAGAGCGACTGCATCTTCTCCTCTGCCTGTCCCTCCAAAAAGCGGCACTGGAGGTGGCCCAAGGTTGTTTTTATTTTTCATTTTCTTTCCCCTGTTTCAAAGCAAAGGTCTTGAACACTATGCGTATTTCTTTGTGTTTTTGAGCATGTCTGGGATTGGGCCCGTGGTTCTGAGTGTTTGTAGTACCAAGCATTGTGCAGGGGATTGGTGTTTGTCGGCAGGAGGGAAAAAGAGAAATTCCAGCCAAATGCATGCAAGGGCAGAATTTCCTTGACTGCAAACAGCTACATGAGAAATTTTTTTACACTTTTTTTTTTTTTAGAGATCCATGTGAAAATGTTCTTTTTTATCAAAATAAAAAGCTGTTATTTTGTGAGGAGATGGAGTCTGTCTGCACAGCAAGTGTTGTGCTGTTTTGTATTGTTTATTTACAGCTTCTGAAATTTTCTCTCGCACGGAGACAATTCTTCAGCAGAGTTTTATCTTTGGTTCAAGAGCTTTATACCCCTGAAGCAAACTAATTTCCCTGTGGCAAAATCTACAGGAATTCTTGCATTCCTATTATGGGTATGTTCTTAGCTTGCCTTCATCTTTTATATCTGATGGGAGTATTAAAACCTCCTACTGCTCAGATGATACAGATGAAGCCTCGTGATAAATAAATAAATAAGCCTGGCAGGAGCCCTCTCATGCGCTGAAAGAGAATACCAACTGCTTTATCTCATGGTTGGAAAGCTAGGCAGTAAATGTCCTCTCTCTGCACACCATTTCTCATTTGAGAAATCCTGGTGACTTCAGCAGATTTAATGGAGTAAGGAAGGATTTGGGGAATAAGAGCCAAAAATTTATTATAAGACTTAACAATATGATATCACTTGAATATTTTTTTTTTAGTGGTGATTTATTTTTACAGCAGGAAAACCAGGGAAATTAAACCCCTTTTGAGCTATCTGTTACCTTGGTTTTACTTGTTCAGTATTTATCTAGCTTGCAGCTGTAATTTTTTTATTCTCCTCCCTGCTTTACCCCCTGCCCGGTCTCAGAATACACAGAAACTCCCTCATTCAACCACCAACCTTTGTGCTGAGTGAGCTTCCTTCATGGTTCCTGGGAACGCTGTGTGTAGCAGGGCTCCAGCTCCGCAGCCCGCATCCCGGACAGAAAGGGAGGTTGTAGAGCAGGTCTAGGGATGGCATTAGGAAGGGAGATTTGCAAGAAGGGCAGTGGGTTCCTCGTGAAGAAGCAGAGTGCATCTTGCTCGCAGAAAATATTGTTGGTTCCCTGCCAATACATGGGTCTTGAAGAGTCTGAAGAGCAAGTAAAACAAAAATAGATTTCTCCTAAATAGATTTTTCTTTCTGAAACAGAAAAGAAGCTGTTTCGTTACTTGATTTGCTGACCGGTGGAGAACTAGTTACTTAGATATGACTTCTTTGTGGTTATCATTTATACCTGTAAACCGAACTAACTGTTAATAGTGCCTAGAGCTTTTAGTGTGAGCATTTAATAAATTTAATCAGCACTGGGTCCAGAAAGATCTGGTTAATGGGCCACAATAAATGGCATAATGTACCATAAGGGTGTTAGAAATTCCAACATGCTGAATGCACGGAATTTTTGCAACTCTTAGCTCGAGTTCATGACATGTGTGCTGACTTCAGTGGGACTATTAATTTTCAGTGATGAAAATTCAGGGAGAATTTGACCTGCTGTCGTTCCACGTAGTTAAGTGTGGCTGGGAAAACTTATGAAAACAAACTGTGGTCTTTGTAGGGATAGTTATTTCTGTCCTGTTTCCTATTTGAAGTCTTAAGGTTAAAACAAAAAAAACCTTTTAATGATCAGATTAGTCATGCTGAATGTTGCTAATACTTTATTAATTCCCGAAAGATGCGTTCTGTAACCAGAGATGTCAAAACTCGAGTCACATGCCTTAAAAACATAAAATGTGTGCTGGAATCTCTGGGGACCTCTGTGCTCTTATTAATACATTGTACTGTTCCTAGAGCAATAAAACAGGACCCCTTGAGCTACATTCTGCCTTCAATTACACCATTACAGCCATTGACGTCAGTAGGTTTCCGCGCGTGTAAGGATGGGTAGGATTTAGCCCTTTATGTCTTCGCAAAAACGTCTGTTGCTGTAACTGCGTCCTGTGAACGAGGGGATCAGCTGCCCCACGTGAGGGGCTGCTTTTACTCTGGAGCTTTTTACTTTTTTGATGGACAAAATGACTGGTTTTCAATCTTACTAGCTGCAGTAATCCTCCTCATTCTGCACCCCCCAGCATCGATATGGCAGGTTAATGTGGCTTCAGACATGCTAGTCTGCATCTTAACAAGTCTTCAGGGGGCTTTCAGTTGTGTTACATTAATGGATTGAGCCAGCGTAATTGAAAACCACCCTAATTTTGCCTGTCAAGGCACGGTCCAGAAGGTTGTTTTCCTGTTGCTCCTCAGTGATTTCTCAGTGAATGCAAGATCTAGAGGGAGAGGTGTCCAAGATGTAGTCCTGTACCACTGTGGGTCCTTTTTTCTGCTTTTTTGTTGCTTTCTGTGAGTTGAAGCCGGACCTAGAGGGGACTGGGGATCTTGGGGACATGGGTCTGACTGTTGCATCGTTATAACTTTCCCCTTCTTTGCCGTAAGTAGAGGCTGGGTGATGTTACCAGGGTCACCAATGCTTCAGTGACAGAGTCCAAGTCTCGCTGGTACCCTGGGGATACTGTGGGCTTTTGTTCTGTTTTGTGCTGTGGCATTTTTTATGAGGAAGTACTTACATAGCAGCTGCACCCTGCTAAGCTTTACAAAGAGAGTGAGGACATAAGGGCCTCGTTAATCTTCAGTTTTAATTCTTAGCAGACATGACAGACTTAGGGCTCATTCCACTGGGGAGCTGTGGAAGAGTTAAGAGGTGTGTGACTGTGGGTTTCTGTGCAGGTATGGGTTTAAAATAGCCCAGGCACTGGTCAAAAAGGGAAGGTGTAGAGAAAAGATGACAAAGCTCACGTTAAGTGGAATTTTTGGGGAGGCTGGCTGGTGAAGGAGCTCACAAAAGAAACCAAGGCTGTGGAGTGTCCTTGTCCCGTGGCAGAAGCAAGCAGGCTCCCACCTGTCGCAGTAAATTGCAGTGCTTTGCCTCAAAACTTCCTGGGACAGGTTTGAGGGGGGGAACACTCTGTCCCTGTGCAAAGGAACCATGTCTGTGACACCACTGACCTGTGTTTCGTGTCACCAGTGCTCCATGGTCCACGACTGCTTGCTTGCAGCTTTGCCCGGGTTCAGTGCTGTCCAGGGAGCAGGACTTGACGTTCGCAGCAGGTCCCTGATGGTACCTCCGGCAGGCTGCAAAAAAGTGAGTTGTCCCCGTGGGTGTGGGTGACAGTGTGGCTGTCACTAGCTGGGGACAGGCTTCTCCCCTACCCTCGGTGCTGCCATCCCTTTGTCTCTGACAAAACCCTTGACATCCCCTCATGGCTTCTGTGCTGCAGTGACAAATGTGTGACCTAGGGGCCTTCAAGTGACCTCTGACCCCCCCTCACCTCAGGGTCCCTGTCACCTCAGGGGCCCTGTGGGGTGTCTCCTCTGTCACCTCAGGGGCCCTGTGGGGCGTCCACCCTGCCCCCATCACCTCAGGGGCCCTGTGGGTTATCTCCCACCCCACACAGCCACCTCAGGGGCCCTGCGGGAACGCGTCCCCTCCCGCGCTGCCCCTTTAAGAGTCTCTTTGTCTCCGA